TTAGAACTCGTGCAGCTGTCGATACTCGAGTTGTGGCAATTGCGGCTGCCACGCGTTTGAACCTCCCGCCAAAGATCCGTTCGCACACTACCGGCCGTACGCGGTCCCCCTTCCACAGACGCCAAACATATCCCAACCTTCCATAGGGGCAAAGACAGCTCCACCGCTGCCCGCTGCTGAGGGGCCGGGCCATCTTGCACTCCAGGTATCACGCTCCCACTTCCTGACTTCCAACACTAGGTCTGCGGCTGGCCTCCGACCAGCCACAGGAATCTATTTCCAACTCCCATATACCCAGGCCGCCAGCGCTTCCGCGCTTGTGGTGGACAGGCTGTCATGAACGCCAGTTACTGAGACCACGACGAATTTCGTCATTCCCTCCCGCGGTGTCTGTCCGCCTACCTGGCTTCATGCCGGGTACCTACCCACGGTGTTGCGGCCTCCGCACGATCCTCGCCGGCCGCCGGTCCTGCCTTCCGACGGCCCAAGGGGATGGCACTCGGACATGCGCAGGCCGCCGCGACTCAACCAGCGTGCCTGGCAAAGCCCATGCGAGGTCCAAGGATCCATCACCGGCAGCAGTACCTGCCTTCCGACAACGCCCACCGGCCGGCCCGTCGCGCTGGGGGGCTCGATGGACAGCAGGGAGCCTCTGACAGCCCAGCCGCCATGATCGTTGGTGCCGCAAGTCAGGACCAACGGTCACCCCAGGTAGGGTGGGGGACCGGGGGGCGGCGTGGACCCTCGAACCGAAGATCCGCGTGGCCGCCTAGGCCTTAGATACCAAAAGGACGGGGAAGTGACGTGGACCGCCGATCCGCCGAGCCGCCGAGCCGCCGAGGCCGGGGGGGAGGGGGAGGGGGGGGGGGGCCCGGGGCTGACGTGGACCGCCGATCCGCCGAACCGCCGAGCCGCCGAGACGAAGGGGAGGGGGGGGGGACCGGGGGCTGACGTGGACCGCCGATCCGCCGAACCGCCGAGCCGCCGAGACGAAGGGGAGGGGGGGGGACCGGGGGCTGACGTGGACCGCCGATCCGCCCAAACGCCGAGCCGCAGTGGCGTCCAGTTGCCCCTTGGTGGGGCAGGGGGCCTAAGTCCACGTGGCCCCCGTGGGTCTGGACCCGGTTGGGCATGGTCCGGCGGCAACCCGGGCCAGGCGGCCGCCGAACCGCCGAACCTGGCGCCGCGGCGGCTTCGCCGCCGCGGCGCCAGGTTCGGGACTCCTGTGCCATTTGACAGTCCGTGACGCCCAAATGCGGCCTGGAAACGCGTCAGCGTTTGTCAATTTTGGGACGAAGCTGACAACTTCTGCAAGACTGGAACAAGCAATTGCAGGAGAGCGAGTCAATGTGCAATTGAATTCGTTTGCACCGGGTTGAAGCAAGGCAGAGCACTGCAGCAGAGGATGAACATGGCTGACGAGCCACTACAGGAGACGAGATGAAGACAATGGTGAGTGGAATGTGGCCTGGGTCTCTCCTCACCCGAACTGAGGAAAACTTACGACGTTTGAATGAATTTCATGAACATGCAGTTTTTCAATGCGCATTTCGCTGGACACTTGACTTCATTTCAATCGAATGTCCCACCAGCGCAGAACTTGAGCAATAGCAACAGATGCGTGGTACCACTGCTTGGCGGAGGAGCCAGTTTCACTTATGGTGGTATCGAAGGCAGGCTGTGCCGTATTGGCCACAACCAAAGGGATGCGCAGGGGCATGTGTATGCAGCATTGTCTTTGTTCGAATCTCATCCTTGATCCACATACACTTTCAGCGGTGGCTTGAAGCAATCCCGGTCATGATGAACACACTCACGCTCACAGCTTCCATGCGTTGGGGGACCAGAATTTTTCAATCTGGGGGTGAGAAACATTAACCATTCTCTGTGGGACTTCTTGACACAGGCTGTGCAAACGAGAGAAAGTAGTGTTATACCGTTTCATTGCTGCATCACGTTGATTTTGTGGTGAAATCCGCCACAGTATGATGAAATGCAGTGCTGTACCAGTGGCGTGTTTGTACGAGCTGTTGTCGAACATGCGCTGGCAGCAATTCGCGGATTTCTTGCAGTTTCTGCTACCGTACTTTGCAGTGTTCCAGGCGTATTATCAACAAAATTGGATGATTTGTGGAAACTTTGTTTTATCATAGAACCGCGCTGTGTTTCTGTAGCCGCAATACATTGCTGGACCTTGGGCGCTCCGCAGCCGTATATTGCCATGGCCGTATATTTGGCCGTATATGAATACTTGCTGTGTTCATCACACCCGGCACATAGTGGTGGCGAGCTGGCCTCATGCGGTGCCCCTATTGCTGAAATCACGACAGGGTACCACTAAAAAATGGCTGCCGAAATTCCAAAAGGCGCTCCCGTCAGAACCCATCGGATTCCGTGCTGCCTGCAGCGGCACCGGCCATCGCTGAGTGCCCTCCTGGTCCCAATGAGCGCGATTCGTACAGTGCTTTGGACGCCCTCTCTCCCTTGCCATCGGCCACAGCTCTTATGTACAGCCGCCCGCCTCAAAATTCAGCTGTCCATGGTGGTAACGTGCGGCCAGAGGCATGTCCGATGGGCGGCTGCGGGCCCTTGTGCTTTCACAACAAGATAATCAACCACCACTCATCGCGCACCAATCATTGCACACCAATCATTGGACACCAATCATTGAGGTCTTTTCCTGACTGGAAAGGACCACGCAAGTCTCAGGGCTTCCCTGGCCCCCACGGGCCCCATCACAGGCACCGGGGCAAATCAATCACAAGGCCACTGTGTTTGTGCCCGAGGGCGCAAGGCATTGGAAGCCAAACTGGGCACACTTATGGTTGAAGATTCCTGACCATCATGCGCTCGGTGTGCCGACCAGTAGTGGGCCAGTAATGTGGCGCCATATAATGCGACCGTCGCCCTCTGCCTCGGCCACGCGGTACAAAGAAACAAAGGGCGCGACGAGCCGCGGCGTTGGATTGACACAGACGAGGGCCCAAGTGCCACTGTAAGGCGGGGGCTGCTCGCCCGTACATTGGAGCCAGGAGGGTAGGCACGCACACAGGCAACCCTGTCGCCTCGGGCGGGGACGAGAAATCCGCTACGTAGCGGATACCGTTCGTGGTATACCATGACGCGCATCAATGTTCCTTCCCGATTCTTTGGTGTGGGTAACCTGCTCAAGCCGATGTCGCCCTTGCGTGCGCTGGCGGCTCTTGCTGGTCCCGCGTCCGTGCCCGTTCCTTGCCTTACCTTGTCTTTTGTCACGCCTTTGTCTCTGACAAGTGGATCGCCACCCGGGCTTGTGCTCGCCATTCATTGCCGCACCTCGCGATCAGGTCCCCGGCGCCTTCGCTTCTCGCGGTCCCGTGAGTGTCTGTCTGCTCGCGCTTGGGCGATCTGGCGTGCCCGTGCGTTTCGCGGATCGCAGCTGCCGCAACAGCCAGGTGGCTGCACGGCAACCATGCGTGGCAACTATGCATGGCAACCAAAGCCCAAGCACAGCGCGCACGCAACACATTCACTGCGACTTGTTGCGGCTCGCAGGCGAGGACGCCCTGTTGGGTTGATGCTTCCTGATGGTGATCGCGGGCGCGGGCGGGGAGGGGAAACGACTCCGTATCTGCCCCACTGCGCTCCCCGTTTGTCGCGGTGGGAAACAGAGTGCTCTAGAAGTCTGACTGCGTTTGGCGAAGTCAGATGGCTCCACCGCAGGTGGAACGGTTTTTGCGGTCACGGAGTGCTTCGCAGGCGACCCACACTGCTTGCCGGCCGGCGCAATAAGTGCGATTGTTGAGTGGTTCATCCTCTCAGGACCGTGTGGCGCTGCGAACCACCATGAAGTAAATACCAACAAATTACTACTCTACTACTAAAACCTTTACTAGGCACTACGGACATTGCTAAGACGAGCACTAAGCTGCTATAATGTACGAAGAATCGTATAAATATTTCCCGCTGGGCAAGGCTGGGCCGCCATGGGGCAGGACACCACAATGCGTGGCTTGTGTGGGCAAACTTTGCATTTTTGAAAACCTTGCGAGGCCAATCGAAGTGATGCCGGCCGTCGACTCCGAAGGGCAAGGACAGTACATCGCCCGCGCAGGGGCTCAAGTGGGGGGCTCAGGAGGCCTGGTAACATGGGACAAAGGTCCATATCACAATATCTGTTCGTACTACCAGCCGTACTGGTATACACATACGAAGTACGTTTGTTGTTGATCCACCATGTAGCGTGACTGAGGCGCAATCCACCGTTACACAATCTGCCAATGTGCGATCACATCTGCCAATGCGCAATCACGCGCTTCCGAAACACCACAAACATCCACGCAAGAAAACCCACACGTTTCCCGATGCAGACTATTGATGCGGGGACGCCGACAGAGATGGAGAAAGGCCAGGATTGGGCATTTTGTTCGTGGGGGCTTTGGGTGCGTGTGGACAGAGTGTCCGTATCCGCCTCTGCATGATCATCCTCAGCATTGTGAGGACGACAAAGAAGCTGATATGTGATTATGTGGTATCTGATGTCTCATGGTGTGAATTTGAATATGGTGAAATGGGGACAATGGAGGCACGGATGGACCTGCTACAGTGAATGCCATTTGACTAGACTCATCTTGCATCTGGTTGCGGCTTGGCTTTCCATGCCTGGAAGCGACGATGAGCGCGAGTATCTTGGTTTTTGTCACAATCATCATCATCAACAATTCTTATGCGTACGTTGTGCATCAGTGGTTTGTGCCATCAGCATCATCATTGTTACATAACAAGGCAATGAGGTAGCCGCCAGCTGGTGGTCGGTATCGCGAACACCTCAGAAAACGCGGCTGCCAAGAATTTACGTGAGCGAGCCGTGCAACCGCCACAGGGTTCGCATGGGCCCGCCGTCCCGCCCTTCCGCTACCAGCCCTCCTCGCTGAAATCGGCGCCGGTCTCCCCTTCGTCCAACACCCCTCGGGCTCGCAACCCGGTACCGTTCGCTCTCCGCCCGCCCCACCTTTCTCTCGATGCTGCTCGGCACGCGCAGGGCGCCGGGCGTCGCGCCTTGCCCCGATGCCGGGCCCGACGTCGCGTGCTCGAGCAGCCGCGACGGCGCCGCGGGATCGCGCCAGCGGGCGGCGCCGCGGCTGCCCGCCTTGCGGGATCCGCGGAGGAGGCGCAGGAGGGCGGACGCGACCATGTGAGCTGCCCGGGTTTTGTGATTGGTGGGGTTGATTGAGATGGGACGGCTGGGAAACTCCGTGGGATTGCCTTTTTTCGTTTTTCGGGGTGGGTGGGACATAGGGGAAAGGGGAACTTGCGGGTGGATTGCTGATGATTCGTTGTTGCGAAATGGACGGCATGCCACGCAATGGGCATTTCTTTTACGGGATCGGCGACCACATGCAAGCTAGCGCGGTATGGAACGGATTGTCACGATCTTTGGTGCAGGAGGGGATGCCCATTGCCTGGTATGTTGCTTTCTCCTGCAATTTCCGACTCGTGTGGATTTGTGTGTTCGCTTTGGTTTCTTTGTCTTTTTTTTGGGTGGGTGGGTGGGGGGAGAGTAAGAAGGAGTGGGGAGGGGAGTTGATGTGGTGGGGCAGTTGCTGATTATGGCTTTTGGGCCATGATTGGTGGTGCTGTCTGCTGCCATGAGTACTGGCAGTGACAACCAGCGTGCTGTGGTTGCAATCAGACCAAACGAGCTTAAACTTGCAGGATGTGGAACGTGTGGATGATCTTGCTCAGGTGCACTTGTGATAGAGAGTTTCAGCTCAGCCATGGATAGCATCCCGGATCCAAGCAGGGAATTCAAACTGGGATTGTAGTGCAACAGTAACAATAACCCAGTGTGGCTGCCAGCATGATCCACTGGGGTGTACATAATCAGAATCGATTCAAGACCATGCGTGGAAGAAGTTCCCCTTGGTGATTTCCCCCTCTGTCCATTACACAGTCTGTAGGGCACACATTGTGGGTGTGAAGAAGAGCATGTATTTGTCCCATGGGAATGGGACACTTATCTCAAACAACACTTGTCTTAGATGTACCAAAGAAGGGCTTTGGATGTGCAGCAGCCTTGTGCTCGACTGGATAGTGCCACACAGAGTGGTTGTAATCAGAGCCCTGAGACAGCTCCAATCGGGCTGGAGACGTGGGCATCCTTTGACTATGGTGTTGTCAAGGGCCAGGGCGGTGTAGCCACCTGTGTGGCCACTTTCTGGATGCAAATGACAGGTTCCCTGGAGCCTGAGAACAGCCACTGTTCCACCACCCCAGTGAATGCACCCGTACTGTTGCTGATACAAGATTGTTGCTATATACGAGAAACCCATTGTCGGATGTGTCCCTACTCGTGACACCAGCTAGCATGTCCTGTCAGCCTGGTCAGGGATGACTGATTGCCAGCCAGTCAATCTCTGCAGCTCCCTTGACCATCCGTACCCAGTTTGTTCCTCTGATTCACCTCTGGCCAAGGGCCTTTTCGCCAGTCTGGTTACTCCTTTGCCTCCCTGCTGGCCACGCAGGTTCGAACATTTCAGTTTGTTGAACATGGAAGGGCAGTGTTTCATCTTATTGGAAACCAATATTATCGAAGCAGAATGGAAAGCGTGCTGCAGTGCTGTCCACGGTTGCAGAGGCCTTGTCCTCTTTATAGATGGCGTCATGCAGAGCAGCTGTGCTCAGAATCTGAAGATAACCCCATTTGCTCTGGAAGTTGAGGAACATTATATTCAATGGGATTAAGGATATCAGTCAAGCGTACACTGACGCCTTTTCCCAGATGCCAGTTGTGGTGTCCCTGGAACCTGACTTTGGCCATTGCGCTGCTACCCCAGTTGAGTACATTCTTATTGCCTTGAGAGGCATTGGATTTTGACCATGGTGGACTGACCAGGGTGCGCGTGGACCTGTACCCAACATCATAGTTGCAAAGGCAGCATTTGCCACTGCCAGACACTTTGATCAATTTTCATTTCCTTTTTGGTCAATATGTAAAAAGACAGCAAATGTTATGAATCTACCCTTCTTAGCAAAGCAAAATCAAGCTAAAGAGATCTCATCAGAATGCACTCAAAGGATTTTCACAGCACGATTAAGGTTGTCCAGTCCTTGCATTTCTGCATTTCGCATGTGGGCTTTTAGCCATCTGAATCCTGTTCCTGGTATCAGCAGCATTTGCAGCTGTGCGCCAGGTACCCCTACACCCCTCATCTATGTGGCTCCACTCACCACATCGACCGATTTCCTTAACTTGTAGCATCGCGAGCAACTGTTGGGAGCAAATCCACCTATGACTGGCTGGAGGGCAGCCCAACCATGTGGTTCAATCTGCAACGAAATCCACTCAACTCATATGACTCACGTCAAGCATGAATGCAAATGCAGCATTGCTTGCAGTGTCATTAAGCTGCTTTGTGTTGCTGGCAGCCCATTGGAACACTGGAGTGCGATGGCTGAAGCGCAAGTGGAAGCTTCTGCAGGGTGGGTCTTTTGCACGCCAGTAGGCCTGGGCACCATGTTCAATTCAAATGTCAACTTTATCAGTGCGTGGATCAGTCCAGTGCCACCTGTTGGGAGAAAGGCATGGATGTCCCTGTCCCACTGTGCAACTTTGCAATTTGTTGACAGAGAAGTTGCACTTTGTTCCGTTTTGTGTGTTCACGTTGAATGTGGGCTGAATCATGCCATCCTTATTATGGACTGGATGCAATTTGCTGTTGGTATTTTTTTGCACAGCAGGGTGAACGGGGTAGCCTAGTGTCCCCTTGTGTGCTGCTCACCCAGTTCTATCTTGTTGTGGCACACCATCCGCCAGGTGCTGTTAATGGGAATTCCCTCTCTTCTGGGTGTGTTGATACAGAGAGACATTGTTCCCAAATTGTTCCCAGCACACGTGTGAGGCCTGCTGTGCTTACAGCACCGCGGTGCCACGACCTTTAATGCCAAGGTGTCATTTGTCTGGAATCTTGACTGCCTGGCTGTAGCTTGCCAGCTGGGTGCCTGGTGGCAGACATTGGCTGCCACTCAAAAACCCATCTGCTTGGCAGAGGCCTTGGCTCTAGGCAGCCCCATTCAACAAGTTGGAATAGTACTTGTGTCTAGTTGCTGTCCCTCAGAACTGCTGAACCAAACAAGGAAAAGAACAAACATGCTGGAACAATCCTTGTGCGCGGAACTGTGCTCATCGTCATGTCAAAGGTGTTAAGGCTGTTCTCAGGCACATTTTGGCACATTTTGCATCAAATGTAGTGGCCTTTGGGGGTTGCTGTAGGACAACGGGCGAGTACAAGGGCAAAACAGCAGTGGTAGTGGGCGCGGGGCCCTCTGGTGCCTGTGCCGCAAGCTACCTGGCTCGTAGGGGCTTTCGAGTAAAGGTGAGCAGCCCTAACAGGCATTATTGGGTTACAAACGAGATTGCACTTTGCTGTGATGGGACTGTACACCATAGGCAACATTATCACCATGGTTATTTCATTACTAGATGTTTTGCTACACTGTTGCTTCTGTGATACTCCTCTTACAGCAATGTGAAGTAGTCATTCAGGACCACACTGCCAGTTTTTCGCTTGGTGTTACAGCTTTGTTCTTGGTCAGAGTTAGCAACATGCCATAAAGAAGTATGGCAGGAAGCACAGTAGCATGTGTGTGGTAGTGGCATCGCGATGCCTGCGGCCTGAATGGGCTCAGGTTCTGCATTCACACAGTGCCTCATATGTGGGAAGTGGGGTGGGAGATCACTGGTGGGATTCGCGGATACAAGTCCTGTCAAATCAGTCCTCCTATTCGTGGCTGGAGCTGCTACCTCACAAAAAATCTTGCTTTTGAAGAGGCTGATTGTCATGCCACGCAGACTCCGTCATTGAGACCTATGCACCCCGGACCCAAGACCTTTGGCCCCAGCTCCCACTTTCATGCACTGCAGTACCTGGCCTGTTTTCAGTTCAAAAGCCTGCTGCCCGGATCCGCAGGTGTTCGAGCGCAGGGGTGACCCTGAGGTGGTGCCCATCACAAGCCACCGGTCGATCATCATCACCCTGCGTCAGGAGACCATAGCTGCGATGGAGGCCCTAGGAGTGGAGTTCCCGCCAGAAGAGGATGAAGCTGGCTTCAGTGGCCTCACGCGCTTCCGGGGGGTGGCCTGGTGTGGCGAGGGGGGCATCAAGAAGGACGCCCCCTTGCAGGGCCGGCGGTCTATCCTGGCAGAGAGGTTTGCCATCGCACGGGCAGTGCTGAGAGCCGTGCGGCAGGAGCACCCCATGGCTGTACAGTGCTTCTTTGACCACCAGTGTCAGGTGCCTCCCTGGGGGCCCCTAAAGGCCATCTTTGCTGTTTTCAGTTTTGGTGTTTCAGGTGCTTCTGGTGTTTTCAGCATTGTTGATGTTTCCTGTTTTGCCACAAGTTCACGCAGAGGTGCAGTGCTTGTTTGGTTGCAGGTATCACACAAGTAGGCTTTTGGCAAGGTTGTCAGTAGTTATTCTGGGCTTTGATGTCTTCAGTGTTGATATTCATGTTGTTGAGGTGGAAATGAAGGCGCAGTGCTGGTTCCCCTTGAAAGCCAGGTATATATTGTATATTGGTATAAGGTATATAATGTACAATAAGTATGAAAAGAGAGGTTGAGGCCCAATCTCGATTTGTTGGACTTGCAGAGGAGTGCACTGTTGTCTGCTAGATACATTCACATTTTGAGTTGTACCACCCATAAGACAATGGTGGCAACATACACATTTCAAGATTCAGGTCATCAACCACTCGTACTCACTGAACCGGTTCTGCTCCCCACCTTGTCCTCCCACTTTTGTTCCTAAGCTTCATTTCTTCTGTTCTAGGTTTTCTCAGAGCCAATGGCGATTAGAGACGATCTTGTAACTAACATCTGTGGGGAAGTATGCCTGTTATTGCATTGTAGTTGTCACAGTGACGGTTTATATTCTGACAAATGCAACATACAGCCAATGAGTAGTAATAAGCAACGGACAATGAAGAAGTGTGTGTTGCCAATCAATAATCAATAAGAAGATTGTGAATTTGCGCCCTTCTGCCTCTCCCACTTTGAGACCAACAACCATTCAGGATGCCCTCTCCTATGTGTAATCATGTGTACGGAAGGTAACGAACAGTTTGGAGTATCAGGAGTAAGGACCAATCGGGCTTGCTGCCTAGTAATCTTTGCCTGTTCCTGTCTGCCATCACAACTCGCAATTGTGTGCTCCCCAATTCAGACCATGGACCTCCAAAACCGAGCAGCCTGCCATTCCACCTCAAGGAAACCTGGGTCACATTGGCACTTGGGCCAGGTTGCATATACCCAGGTTAAGGGATGTCTTGGGCTCATCATTGTCCAAGATCTGCCTCCAATCTTTTGCTGCCTTTGCTGCTCACTCTTTCCGCTTGTCTTTTTCCAGGACATCGACTTTGACAACAGAGTTGCTGAGTTCAAGCAGCTGGATGGCAGCATTCGGAAGGAGAAGTTTGACTTGTTGGTTGGAGCGGATGGGGCACAGTCTGCTACCCGCCAAGCCCTCGCCAGATACGACTCGAATTTCAAGTTCAACATTGTGGACGTCACGAGGGCCTACCTGTCGATAAGGGGCCTGCCACCACCAGAGAACGAAGGTCAGCATTGCTGCCTATTGTAGCTGTGGCTGTGGTTGTGCCCAATGGTGACCCTGTGAATCTGATTGGCAAACAATTCATGACAACACCAAGCCCTGGCACCTTGCAGGCGATGATGGGCACAGTGATAGCCAACAAATGCGTTCAAGTATTCACACTGGAGCATTATAGTGTAATTGCATGCGCGAGGCATGATGTAGGTGCAAATTCAGTGACCGGTGCCAGTAGTGCAGTGACAACCATGATGTCGGCGCAAAATATGAACAGGACAGCTCTCGCACTAGCATAGCTTCACAAAGAAGAAAGTCAGGCCAGCCCAAGAACTGGCGATCTGTGTGCCAACTGCTCTTGGATGAGCAAAGAGCCTGGACACAGTCAATTGCCAGACATACTGAAGCACCAAGTACGCAAAACACAACTCTGTTGACTTTGCTGCTCCGTGCTGAACAGAACCAACGTCTGTTCAGTTGAGTGGGGTGACAGCAGCGTCGTGCAAGCACCATGACGCATCAGATGCAACATCCATGCCTAACCTGCAGCTTCCTGTGTGGGGTGCCCCTCACTATGACATCCAGGTTCGTGTGTACACTTGGCACCATTGACTTTCGCAGTATCCCACTGTAATGATTAGATCGTCAAGATGCTTGAAGTGGAAACAAAATCAAGGCACTCTTGGCAGTTGTCTGCCACCATATCACTTTTGCTTTGTTTTCATCGGTTTCATGTCAGTTTCTGTTCACGTTCAGAAACAAAGGTAGGGGTGACAATCAGTGGACCATGAAGGGCAGTGCCATGCCATATTTCCACTTGCTGTTTTTGGTGAATGGGTGCCACTTTTCCAGTGCATGTGCATACAACAATCAATGCATTGATTTGTGTCATGCTCAGTTCTCCATACCTGACCTTGCACCACCTGTCTGTACATTGTCATGACGGTCTTGTTACTTCAGAACATCAGCCAGTGTTTGGGAATGAAGGATACTGCAGTTTGCACTCTGCATTGCATCCATTCCTGCTATGCTAAAGGTCTACTGCATGTTTTCTTATGGTGTGGAAGTATGTCCCAAGAATGTGCAAACATCAGAATCTACTTGTTGCAGCCAACATAAACATATATCAATTTCAAATTGAACACAGATTCTTATTCTTAAGTTTGTGTATGTGACTGTTCAAAGACTCTTGGTTGAGAGGGATGTGGCTATTGCTGTGCACACTTCGTACCTGTTTTCTTCTCTGAAGTTGACATTTGGGAATATCTCACCTGCTGACAGTGGCAATCTTTGTGTTTAAATTCCAGAAGTCAGTGAGATTGTGGAGCCAGGCAAGATGGCATTCATGAACCTGAAAAAACAACGGCGCAATGGCAAGAAGACGCCGCCACGGATCACTGTGTATGGTGCGGAGGATGGGACCGTGAATGGGATAATGACCTACTACGTGGGGGATCTGGTTTCCATCAGGGGGAGGGAAGAGGAGTGGCTGGAGGAGGTGGCATCAAAATACTTCCCCAAGGTGAGGGAGGGTGGAAATCCAAAGAACGGAGAATCCAAGGAAGCATATGCACAGCAGTACTTGGGCAGCATGGTGTGGCAAAGTGCTGCTAAGCCTGAGTTCTTAACATAACACATGCAAGGAAAACGCTCACAGAATAGCACAGAAAAGGAGTGGAGGGACAGTATCAGTCTCCCATGGTTCCCAAGGCTTGATGTGCATTGTCACAGCCAGCATCAATACCGATTCCCCCCTCTCCATCCCCACTCCATTGTCTGGTCAGTTGCAGCATATTTCTCTGGTTGGCCAAAGCCATCTTATTAGTCATTGCCTTGTGGCTGCAAGGGCATGGAATTGGCATATTTTGATATCTTGTCAAGTGGATTTGCTTTCACTTTTAGTTAACTGCATCGTCTTTCACAGTTCGAAAGTGACAATTCTAGGGTATCAGATCAGCGATGCTATGTGAAAAAGTTCCTCTACACAAATGGTGTTCTGCGTCATGCTGATCCAAACAGTGGTGGCCTCCATACCTGGCGTCATTGTCACACACACGCATCAGGCTGTGGTGCTGAATGACTGCTGCTTTATCGCCACAACCCCACGCATATCCACATTGACCTGTGGAGTCCTGGCCAAATCCTGTAGTTGAGCAGCCAAGACAGCCCCTGAGCCTGCAATGGAGCTAGCCAACCACTGCTGCAGTGCTTGAGGCTGTACATAAGAAGAGCACCGTGCCTGCAACAGTCCCCAGTGTGTCTTGACCATACAGACACCTTGGCATTCAGATGATCGTTTATTGCTGGCTGTGTAGTCCTGGATCAAACCCATCGCTGAGCAGCTCAAGACGGCCCCAGAGTCCATTGCAGGGCCAGTCACCCGTTGCACTGCATTTGTGGGCCCTGCCATGGTGCTCCTTGGCGATGCTGCCCACTCCGTGACGCCCGCGATGGGCATCGGCTGCAACATGGCGGTGGAAGACGCTGTACTGCTGGACAAGGCCCTGGGGACCGCGGCAGGTGACGTGGGGGCTGCTGTGCGGGGCTTCAACGCCATGCGCTACCAGCCAGTTCAGGACGCGCAAGACTTGCAGGAGGTGAGGAGCGCTCAGGGGTGCTGCACAGCATTATGCGTATTGTGCATACTATATGATATGCACGATACACATGTGATATGTGCGATCTTAATGGTTATTTCCAGATCCTCAGAGTTCTTGCATGAGCAGCAATTTGCTGGCCCCTCAATCAGTTGGCCACGCAAGCCTCCCATTAGGTGACACCTTGGACGCTTAAAGCAACAACTCCTGTAGAATTACGGAACTTGACAAACACGAATTGCTCCTTGGAGCAGTGCGTGCCATCACTGTGTTGGGAGTGAAGAAGGCCTGCAGGTGGCAAAGGGGCCTTTAGGGTCAAGACATGTGTCTTGCCACGCTTTGCAGCAGGTGGACACCTTGCAGCGATTCAAGGTTCTGCGAGCGAGCGAACCATTGCCGTGGACACCACAACGACGGTTGTTTCTGCAATGAGAAAGAACCCTGCGACACAACGGGGCCCCTCCCAAGCAACGCCCTTGTGACGTTCATTGCAAACTGTATTGTAGATAAAGGGCACTTGGGGCACGTAGCCATGCGACCCATCGCCCGTTTTGTTCATTTTTTGGTGATTACATTAGCTAGTTAAGACGTTGTTTAATCATTCAACCATGATTGCAAACATGCAATGCCACGAAATCATAGGTCAAGTGCCTCCAGCGCTGTCGAAGGGACACACCTGGTAATTGAGCGAACCAATGTGGCAGAGTTGATGAAGCCGGATTCATGATTTGATCACCTGAGATCACACTGCCATTCCCATAATCCTGTCACTATTCATGCCACCAAGTATTGAGTGGTGAACTGAATTGAACTGGTGCTCTTCACATTGCTTGTCCGACGGCGGAATATCAGCTGCCTCGACTAGTACTTCGCTTTTCAGTGTATCAAGTAGGACACCATAATGTGTGGGCATGTCTCCAGCCTCTCCGCTTCCTCTTGTTGGACTCCACACTCCATCGAATGTCCTACAGTGAAAGCATGCAATCCCGTCACACCCTGGGCAGTACATAACCACAAAACAGCGTGGTTTCGCCGTTCAATGGATATGAACGCTTCCGCCATTTGCTGGCAAGCTCCCGGTGGCCAATTTGTCAGCGTTTTAAAAACCATTATGTCATCACATTGCATTAGGCAATGCCAGAATGTTCACCTCCAGCACCGTATCGTCACATACGGTACGTATGTACGGTACGTATGAATGACATTCATTCGCCATGACAGGTTTCGTTTTTTTTTGCCCCAGCGTTTACGGTGCTATTGTGAATCGCAGCCCAAAAGGACCGAAGAAAGATGCAATCTGTGCTTGCAGGCAACACTAGGAGAAAAAGGGCCAAATAACACGTGTTCAAACGTGCACAAAGTATACGTGTTTGGGTCATTTTCGTGTTTTTCCCGTGCAAAATGTATCCATATGTGTGCGCAGAAAGTGTCATTTGGTCCTTTTTTCCTAGTGCAATCAGCTTGTTTTAGTTGCTGATGTGATCAACGCCCGATGCCACCTACTTGGTCTGGTAGGAGCGAGGGCGGTGACAGCGATTTGCCACAAACGGCAGACGACTCTTGGCGATTTATGCCAGGCGGACCCTCTGGCAGATTGGTCTTCTTTCTGGCTCATCCTGTGAGCACAGGCAATGAACATGAGTGGCGCAGCGTTATAGGTTTGCGCAAAATGTGGCCGCATGAGGTGCGACCACGGGACGCCCTGCGGTTGCAATACCAAATAGCATAAAATATTCACCCCCTCCGCGTAATGACATAACGTGCCCCTTATTTGCAGAGAGAAATTGAAAAACAGTAACGTAAATCTTGGCCTTTTCTTGCGGAGCAACAGATTACAAAAATGAAAATAACGCACTGGAAGAAAAAATGCGGAGCAAGAAGCGTGACGGCAAAATTTTCTGATGCGGAAGGTTTGAATTTTTCAAGGTACAGCTGGTGCTTTGGCGCCTCCCACTTTGGACTGGTTGGCTTTGGGGCAACGGGCAATCATTGCCAAACACTATTTCTGGGGCAACGCTTATTTGGCAATCATTGCCAACATTGTTTATGGAAACCAGGGCACAAGGCTCAGTACTTTGTAGTATGTAGAGCATCTTTATCGGTCGGTGCTATTGCACCAGCGGAGCTATCCAGGAACGGTTATCATTGGCTGCCGTGCCACGTTACTAAGGCGGCATTTGCCGAATAGCGCCGGTGCTACTGCTCCCCTGTGCGCATCCGCAATGGTGGGTGCTATGCCTACGCCAAATTGCATCATGGCAGCACTACAATGTTCTGTGCGAATAGCATTGGTGCTATTCTGGGGTGCTATTCAGCCCCGAGCGGTGCTATTCGGGGCCAAAATAGCGCCGCTCGGCGCCGAATAGCTCCGGGGGTGCTATTGGGCGCTATTGCTCCCCAACTGTTAATGATGGTTTTTTGACATGCGGTGCTATTCGGATAGCCAAATAGCTCCGCCGGGACAATAGCACTCACCGATAAAGATGCTCTTAGTCGACCATTTCTTCCCTGAAACGGTGTTATTGCAGTGTTTTAACACGACCCCGTGTTTTACCAGACAATACCGGGCGCCGGCATACAGAAGCCAGGCGTGGCGGTGCCTCTAGTCCGGGCGGCCGCCGGCTTGCACCTCCTGTCCTACATGGCGGGCAGTAAGGTGCTCCCCAAGATAATCCCGACGCCCGTGTACATGAGGTCGGGGCGGCCGCAGTGCTTGCGGCGCTCGCTGCAGCGGCCATATTCTTCATCGCAAGGCTGTTCCTGCGGCGCATGCTGGCCGCATAGCGAGGCTACATGGGTCGAGATGCTGATCACGTGGCGCGAACGAAGGGCAGGGAGTTATGGGCACCCCCCTGGGTGAGAATTGTGCCGGCGCCCTTTTGACGCTGAAACCCGTGCATATTGGTCCATGGCGAGGCAATGAAGGTATTAGGCTATAAATGCAGCCTGCTTGACAGCTCTGCGAGCGTGAAGATGCTGAATGCATCGATGCATTGTTGGCCTCTGCACGGGGGTGGGCGTGCGCCGGGTGTCCGCTGACTTCTCATTGTGCGGCTTCGCAAGCCAAGATTTGGCAATGGTCTCTCATTCGACATTCATATCCTGTGCTCGCTAGGGCCCTTGCCGTTGGCGCAGCTTGGTGAAAGCCATGGGGGCCGCAAGTGGAGAACCATTGCGTTGCAGTGCTTGGCACGCAGTGGCCCACGATCATGAGCCAGAATGGCGTGGGACGGAAATGTTGCTGCCATATGTGTTAGAAGCGGCGTTCAACTTGAAAACACAATTGCTATATGCGCGTTTGTGGCGGGTGGAGTGCCAATTGTGTCGATTCCCGTGAGACTGACTGATGTTCTGCACAACGGGCAACGAACTGATGTGGTGTCGCTGATATCTGCGTTGTACCACAAACTTTTGTGGCGCCATGCGCGGCTCTGTCACCTCCATTTGCACGCATGTCTGCTGGTACTTGCCAGCCACTGCCCTTGCGCCTACAGGATGATAGCAGGAACATTTGGATCCACAGTGGTATTCCAACAGCATATGTTCGCATCAGAAAATCCCAACAGTGGACAGGCTCGAGTGGCAGGATGTGGGCACCAGTGGCAAGAACATCTTTTGGAGCGAACTTGAGAAAGCTTATCACATAAAGTGCCCGCTGCATCGGCACGATTGTGGAATGTCTCCCCACTGGAGCGCTGCAGGGTGTGCCCCAAAGTCCTGTGATGGGCGAGGCGCCGACTTCTGGGGCTGAAAGGCGTCAACCCCGACTTCCGCAATGCTATGTTTGGTTGACATCACCGCCTGGCCGGCGAAGCGCCTGGACTTTTTGGACGCAAGCTACGATACCGCTTTTGTCCTGTTGACAAAGCCCTGTCCACTCGTTGGTAGCATGCTACCCACAAGGTACAAAAAATGTGAAGATGTTTGTCGCTTTCTCCTATTCGCTGCTATCTTAGCATTTCGTTTCCTGGTGGTGTGCCTCGGCACGCATGGGCACATAGGCCCTCGTGGTTGCAATTTTGAAACGTCTGCGTGATGCCAGCAACATAACGCAGACGTTTCAGACACTCTCTGCATTGCAGAGAATGGTGCAGTGCTGCATGCCTGTGGTAGATTAGGGATGTGTCGTGCCATGCATCACGCCAAGAGATACACATTGCCTTAACGACATGGAGTAGATGCTGAAAAAGCCGCCGTTCCATAAGCATCCACACCTGTACATTGACAGGCATCTGAACAGGTGGACAACGAACAGAAAAGATAGAGGAAAATGGGGCATATTTACATAAAGGAGGACATCTGATGTGGGATCCAAAACTCGGTCAGTGTGCGTGGGAAGATGGCTCTGGAACTTGACAACACGCTGACAGCGATCTCACAAGCCCCAGCAGTCATCCGCTTCATCAGCGTCACGCCCGCCCGTTCACACTGATGCTGCCCGCATGTGCAGCTCCCCTTCTTTCCCTTCTCATTCAAGGCGCTAAGGGAACTCACGAGTGTGTCCGTCGAGTCATGGACTATTTGCATCCCCTAAATATCTTATCCAATCCACACGAGCAAGGATAAATACCCAGCACTGTATATCACAGGTACACCCCGGCGTCCGTCAACCTGCTGATGAGGCTCTTTCCAAGGCTCTCGTCGACCGTGGTCCAGTAATCCACCCATATCCTGCAATGGAGCAAAAGACGACGATTAAGGAATGGGTAGGAGAAGAAAGTCCATCCCTGTCACTGCATAATTCCTGAGCCGCTTCACAGCACAAGCGAACGAGAAGCCGTGCAGTATCCAGCATTGGGTGACTCTTCACACCGAGGATCCGTTGACAAGTCCCCACCAATGCTGTCAAAATAATGTCAGTTGTGTGAGCGGTGCCCCGCGAGAAAAAGGGAAGAACCAAATCCCGCTCGGCGCTCACCTTTGGAGCCTCTGGGTGACCCTTGGCTGGAGGAGGAAGTTTTGGGCAATCCTTTCGGCGAACCGCTCCTGTCGATCGGCGGGCCAGCTGCGGTACAGTTCGCCAGCCTGGTCGAAGTTGTTCTCCTTGGGGATGACTTCCTGGGTGCGCCTGCTGCAGATGCCCTCCCTGGAGATGGGATACTCATCCGCAAGCAGGGCGCCGCTGAACCTGCGTGTGCGAGGAGTCCAGCCATTGGTTAACGGCCGCCCCAAAATGGGGCTGAAAAACTGGCTTTTAGCCTTTTTCAATAATTTGAAGCATGAAAATACAGCTTGAAAATCGTATGCCATTCGATGGCTGCCAAGCGTCAAAAACAACCGTGGATCTTCCAGGAGCCATGAGCACAGTACTTGCACATTGTGACTGCTCGCTGGCAGCCGGAGCGGTCTCCGACGTGCATTACAAGCAACACATGACCTGCAGATAAAGTCTGCCGCAAATCGAGACCTACTTCGAGGGGAAGTAGTTGATTTCCTCGTTGGGCTTGTTGACGAAGTTCATGACGCTGTCCACCTGTTGGTTGTTCATGGTGCCGCTCCTGGCCGCGTTCACCGGCAGGTTGAGGTAGTTAGGCCCAATGCGGTATCTCTGCGTGTCGGTGTACGAGAATATGCGCGACTGGAGCAGCTTGTCCTCCGAGTACGTGATGCCGGGCACCACAAGAGCGGGGCTGAAGGCCAGCTGCTCGTTCTCGTTGAAGAAGTTGTCGATGTTCTTGTCGAGCACCATGCGTCCGACCTCCACGAGAGGGAACAGGTTCTCTGGCCATGTCTTGGTGACGTCCAGGGGGTCGAAGTCCAGCGTGGCGGCGCGGGAGGGGTCCATGAGCTGCACGTGGAGCACCCACTCGGGGAAGTCGCCCGCCGCGATGCTCGTGTACAGGTCGCGCGTGGCGTGCACGTTGTCCCTTCCACCGATGCGCTGTGCCTCGTCGTCACGCAGGGACTCCACACCTGAGACGCACGCGTCATGCACGTTCATTGAGGCGCACGGAGCGCGCTTAGGTGCGCACTGCTGACACGCCAATCTGAAGATTCTTGATTGATTGATTGATTGATTGATTGATTGATTGATTGATTGATTGATTGATTGATTGATTGATTGATTGATTGATTGATTGAAGCACACTGAAGACACGTGTTGAGATCATATCATCAGACGGAGACAGTAGTTCTGGCCGCGGTGGAGCAGCGGGCAACACTCTGCCGGCACACTCACCCTGGCTGGACTTCCAGTGGTACTTTACGAGGTACTCCTTCCCCTCGCTGTTGATCCACTTGAATGTGTGCACTCCGAAACCGTCCATGTGGCGGTAGTCCTTTGGGATGCCGATGTCGTCGAACACATGCGCGAACTGGGGAGACAGGACCAAAGAGGCTCAGCCCACTCGACCTGCAAACTTCGGGCAAGAAATCTGTCCTCGGATCAGATGGGGATCTCCACCAACCTTCCATTGTCCCAGCTCCATCAACTTGCTTCCGCACTAAGCGCGGGACAATTAAGCGCGTGGCATTGACACCGATGTCCAGGAATGACATCGTAGTTTAAGGACAAGGAATTCAATCCAAACAGGAGTGATGCCTTGTTTCCTGAGTCTCACTGCTCACCATGTGGAGGCTCTCTGGATGGTGGGAGAAGAAGTCCACGAAACGCCAGTTCTGCAGGACAGTCACAAACTCGATTAGTCGGCTTGCTACATACCACATCCAGAAGTGCTGCGATGCGCATCCGCGATGCACATCATGGCAAAATGTCTCCACGGATTTGGAGCCGCAGTTGGCTGAGACGATTCCGATACGCAGTGTCGATTCAGGAAAGACGAAACGTCATTAAGTATTTGCTGTATATCAACACCGATATTAGGTCTCTTTCGCGCACTTACGTCGATCAAGTTCGTCACAGGGTTGGGCTTGAAGGCGTGGACCATGTCGGGGAACTTCATGCCGTCCCGAATGAAGAAGACCGGCAAGTTGTTGCCGACCAGGTCGTAGTTTCCCTGGTCGGTGTAGAACTTGACGGCAAAGCCGCGGGGGTCCCTGACCGTCTCCGCCTGTCCCTTGGATGGAATGACGGTCGAGAAGCGGACAATCACGTCGGTCCTCTTGCCCGGCTCGCTCAAGAAATCTGCAAACGTCAGGTTGCTGACGTCGTTCGTGACCTGTGGAGAAGAACCCATACCCTCAGCCACCTTGTGGAACCAAGAGTGGGCCACGAGAATGGCGCCAGACTTGCGAATAAAACTGCACAACACAGCTCGGACGTAGGCAAGCACCGAGGTGCAACCATTCGTTGCCGGCCACAAGCAATCTGAGGGCAGTAGGAGAGACAGGTTTTGCAATGCCATTGCACAATACTTAGTACTCAAATTACATCGTCCCGCTGTGCACAGCATATGCAGTTCGCTGTCCATGTTTCATAGCGCTGACGCTGATGGCGCGACTCCCCAGATCATGCACCAACCGCACCTCGAAGTACCCCTTTGCGGAGGCCCCCACCGCGTGCACGACGCGCTCGGGGATGCGCTCCCTGTCGAAGTGTGCAAGTTTCTCCACCAGGTGGTAATCCTCCAGCAGCACGGGCCCGCGGCGGCCCACCGTCAGCGAGTCATCGTTGTTGTACACGGGCAGGCCGCTGTTGGTGGTCCACTGCGCGGCCTTGCCACCCGTCAACTGCAGAGCGCGACCGGAGGGTCAGAGGGGGGGATCTTTCGTTGAGTGTTGCGCTTGCGGGTGTCTGGGGCCAAAGGGCGCCGGAGGCTCGAGCGCGCACAGGCAGGGCTGCGCTGCCCCCTTGGCAGTGGTGCCAGCCTTGTGGGGTTGTGCAGTACAGTACATCAGCATGGGGTTGCGGCGCGGGCGAGGATATCGGGCGTGGGGCGAAGCAAGGAAAAGGCGGGGCGTCTTCGCAGGGGATCCAGTCGCGGAGCTCTCTCGCCTTGCGCAAACGGCTGAGGAATCGACATGGGCACCTAATGGTCGACATGGTCCCTCGCGTAGGGGCCGCTGACGGAGGCGGGCGGGCGCCCGGCCACGGGCCCCATGCTCCCGGGCTGGCACAGACGGCGGCGCACAAACCCTGAAAGCGCTGCTTGACCGCGGAGGCGGCTCGGGCCAGGTCGCAACGTGGCCCCTATCCCCGCGCGGACGGGGAGGTGATTGGGGGCTATTCTGCCCATCATCGCCGTCCGTGCCAGCTGATGAGCGAGCTCCGACTCCGTCAACCATACTCGACAGACGCGAAGGGCAAGGAGGCTTACTCGGCGGGGTGGAAACCGATTGAGGGCTGGTGAGGGTGAGCCGTACCGGGCACTGGCAGCTCGCCATCTCGAGCAGGGAGGCCGCCAGCAGGGCCACGAGCACGCTGCTCCACCGGCCCATCGACGCCATGACGTTGCGCTGCCGCGCTGCTCGTCGGTTCGCTGGGGCCGTCTCTCCTTTACACAGCGGCGGTCGAGGGAGGAAAGGTCGATCGGGGGGTCTGCTGTTGGCGACTGGGGCTGCGATCTGTCCGTTGCTGGAGCCTGGAGGGCCATGCACAAATACGCCGCAGTCGGGTGATGGCGTGTTCCCTCTCGCGACCGACGACCAGCACTCACAGCGTTGGCCGCATACGCCGCATTAGCAATCCACTTCGCTTCGCTGTACGAGGAACAAGTGACAGGTCCGTGTGACGATTGCGGGTGTACGCACTGAGGCCAGCCTGCGCTTAGTCAGCTCACGGACTCGGCTCCGCAGTGGGGTGCGTGATGGGCCACGTGGGATTGGGAGGGGGGCTGGTGTAATTCCCTTGCACATCGAGCGGCGTCGCGGCTGTTGTTGGGAGGGGCCATGCTGTACGATGAGACCACGACAGGGGGGCCACGAGGAGCGATTAACCGCACGCGGCTCCCTGTGCTTCGGCGCGCCCCACGTGGTTGAAGCCCTACTTGAATCCAGGCGGGCCTCGCAATCACCAATTTGGTAATGCACTGCTACGCATCGCTGCATCAAGTGGATGTGAATTTTTTTTTACAGGCCTGGCGCACCACCAGCACCCTTTGAAATTAATGTTAACGCAGCCACGCAATGGCCGCCACTTCACTGTGCGGATCGGCTACGTCTCAAGGCTAGAGATTGCTTCGCTTTTCAAAGAGTAATAGATTTCGTGGGAGGGCCTGAGCTGATCGAATCGGCAAAAGAGATTAACAATGTTTATGAACTCCTCCTATGGAATCGTTTATTTGTTGCTTGTTGTGTGTCATTTTTATCGCACTCGTGTTTGAGCTGAACAACATGAGCTTCTATCACTAGGAAAAAAGGTCCAAATGACACGTGTTTAAATGTGTACAAAGGTTACGGGTTTGGGTTATTTTGGTGTTCTTAGCGTGCAGAACTTTGATGAAATGTGTTTTATGTGTTTTCGCAAAAGCGTTATTTGGTCCTTTTTTTGGCTAGTGCATGGAAGCACTCTGTCGCAGCACTTGGTTAGGATGTATCGAGGGAAACTGCTGGACGGCAACTGCTGTACTGGTACCCTTCTCTCTGTTGTCATCGCCCCTCGGGGCCCCAAAGCGCCACAGCCCTCCGGGCTTGGTCAACTCTGGCCAGAGTGGCCGATATCGGCATCCCATGATGGACTACCGCCACATGGACGGGTCCGGAGTGCACACATTCAAGTGGATCAACAACGTGGTGAAAAAGCACCTCGTAAAATACCACTGGAAATCCAGCCAGGTTGAGTGTGCCCGCAGACTTTTGGCCGCTGCCTGTTCACGGCCATGAGGCTGTCGCCATCTAATGATCTGGTCTCAGCACGTGTCTTCATTGTGCATCAATCAATCAACCAAACAACCAAGCAAGGTACCCCGACATTGGCACTTCAGTAACAAGCGCCATGGTGTTGTTGTAACCAGAACTGATTGAGCATTATAAACAGCTGGACGCGCAAAGAAGTGACGAGGCATTAGGAATTCCATTAAGGACATTGATGCACGAACTGGATATAAGGGACAGAACTACTGTTGTCATTTTGCTCGGTCGTAAGCCGCTACCGCGGAATCGAGCCTACGGTCCCCGTTCAGGGGTCGCCACCCCTCGACCCTGCCTTCCTTAGTCACTGTGTTCCGTGTGCCTCAATGAACGTGCATGACGCGTGCGTCTCAGGTGTGGAGTCCCTGCTCGACGACGAGGCACAGCGCATCGGTGGAAGGGACAACGTGCACGCCACGCGCGACCTGTACACGAGCATCGCGGCGGGCGACTTCCCCGAGTGGGTGTACCACGTGCAGCTCGTGGACCCCTCCCGCGTCGCCACGCTGGACTTCGACCCCTTGGACGTCGCCAAGGCATGGCCAGAAGACCTGTTCCCTCTCGTGGAGATCGGGCGCATGGTTCTCAACAAGAACATCGACAACTTCTTCAACGAGAACGAGCAGCTGGCCTTCAGCCCCAAGCTTGTGATGCCCGGCAACGAGTACTCGAATGACAAGCTGCTGCAGGCGCGCATGTTCTCGTACACCGACACGCAGAGGTACCGTATTGGGCCTAACTACCTCAACCTGCCAGTGGATGAGGCCAAGAGCGGCACCATGAACAACCAGCAGGTGGACAGCTTCACGGACTTCGTCAACAAGTCCAATGAGGAAATTAAATACTTCCACTCGAAGTATGTGCTGGTCCCTTCGTTGCTTTTTGTTGGCACCTTCTGCAGGTCGTGCCTCCCAAACTGTGTGAGATGGGCGCGGCTGTCCCTTATCAACCCCGGCACGTCAGTCGTGGGGCAACATATTCCAAATGAATACCCGTTCTTTTCTTGCTTTAATTATCGAAAGCAAAAAAATGCCCCATCGCAGCAAGGATGTGCGCTGCTGGGGTCATTCTGGCCGACCATTGGCCAATGGCCGGCCTCTGCGCACGCGCAGATTCAGCGGCGCCCGCCTCTCGGGCGAGTATCCCATCTCGAGCGAGGGCATCTGCGGCAAGAGCACCCAGGAAGCCATCCCGGAGGAGAACAACTTCGGCAGCCCGGCGACCTGTACCGCAGCTGGCCTGCCGGTCGACAGGAGCGGCTCGGGTAGAGGATTGCCCAAAACTTCCTCCTTCAGCCAAGGGCCGCCCAAAGTCTCCAAAGGTGAGCGCTGTGGGGCATTTTGGCGCCCCTTTTTGCCGTACGTCACCGCTCACCCAGCTGACGTTAGACACCGTTAGACACTCAGCACTTAATTGAGCGCGAGTTCGAGAGTCGACTGAATGCAGCACTACTTGTCGTGCGATTGTGCTTGTACCCGCCTCGAGTCTTGCTCTCAATGACAGAAATTGAAACTTACCTCCAGAAATTGAAACTTACGCATTCGTTGATCCTTCTCTTTGGTCCGTTTCAGGACCTGGGTGGTTTACTGGACCATGCTCGACGGCAGCCTTGGAAAGAATCTCTTTAGCAAATTGGCGGACGCCGGGTTGCAACTGTAGTATATGGGGTATTTGTAGGGGTATTTGTATTGCTCTTGTGAATGGGATGTATCCTTGTCGATAAAAAGGGGAAGCAAACAGTCTATGACCAGATAGTTTAAGGGAGGGACATTTGTATTGCTCTTGTCAGTTGGATACTATTGCTCGCGACAATTGGATGGTGGACAAAGGGACCGCGGATACTCCTTGACTCGATACGACACACTTGTGAATTCCCTAAACACGTTGACTGTGGGGTGGCACATGGGCGACCTTGGACGTGCCTCAGGTATTGCGGATACAGCACGGCCGGTGACATGCACACTTTTGTCATAATACCATATGTATAAGATCTTTTTGCTTTTAGCAATTTCAAATGAGAAGGAAACGAAGGGGTTTGGTGCATGCAGGTAGCATCGGCGCGGATGGGCGGTGGGCGTGCCAATAAAGCGGATGGTGTCGCGGATGATTGCCGGAACTTGTGAGATCACTGGCGGTGTGTTGTCAAGTTCCAGCGCCATCTTCCATTACAGTGTGACGGCGACAAAATTTGATATTTCTCATGGCTTCGATGTTCTCCTTTGCGTAAGCAGCTTCATGGCCGCTGACCCCCCTGTCCGATGGACCTTCTAGTGTGCAGGCGTTGGGGCTCCTGGAAAGGTGTTTTGTTTTGCATTGATGTGTTTCCCTGGTGGCAATGGGTGCTGCCTTCTGTAATGCATTGCACAAGGCATCGCCAATACTCCCACAAGACATGTGGAACTGCACAACCCTCAACGTCGCGCCCACATGTCATGAAAATACTTGTTGCATGGTCACTTTCCGTGTTGTTACAGCGTGGCGCCAACCCATTGCTTACTCTTGCCAATTGCCAATTCTCTTGCCTATTGCCAGCCATAGCGTGTGCGATCTCGACCGGCGCAAGGCTGCCCTGCACTGGGCTATCAATCTTGTCAAAGACACCAAAACGGGGAGAACAAAGAGGCCGTGACAGTATATACTCTTCGCGGATATATCCGCCCCGGGGTTGCCAGGGTTGCCTAAAATGAAACTTAGGCCCTCGACATGCCCAACACAGTTCGACGTCGGCCCGGCTTCAGAAACAGCTTCAAATCAAAGCCAACGGCTACGGAGAAGTCAACATTGCCATGCGGAACGTGGATTCCAGTGATCTGCCAGTGCAGCTGACAAACCCAGGAAATATATGCCCAAATAACGAAATACATGCCCAAACGAAATTCTGAAATCTTGCCCCCAAGTTGCATGTGTACGCGATCTTGCTTGCACGCAAGACTCTCCTGCGCCTCTTCTGCATGGCACTTATCTCGCACCCTCAATCCCTCTGTTTCTGTTGCCAAACGTCTGCATGTCGTCCGCACACGCTCGGTATAACAGCGCCTCCACCTTGTGGCATGCGGCCACCTGCCCGCTGTGCTGAGCTGCGGTACCTCCGTTGAGCGAGGCATCACCGGTGGGCCAAGTGCACACGTCGTTTCCGCACTGCACGGCTGGGCAGGTTTGCGCTGCGCCTGGATGCTCCCTTTCCTCGAGCGTGGTCCCCAGTTCCTCTGGTGCGATCTGCAAGGTACGCCAGTGGAAACGCCATTTTGTGATGCCAACTGCGACGCTGCTTGAAACTAATTGGTGCCGCAGCTGCAATGGCAATGGCATCAAAGCAGCTGTGACGGCATCCATAAGTGTCAAAACGGCAGATCGCGGCTGGCATCGCGAATGCAGTTTGTTTTGCTAGTGGCAGGCCCAGGCCATACAGTTTCGCGAGGGCCGCCTAGAGTCCCCAACGCTGCTTCGGAGTGTCTTGGGCTTCCCTCTGCGACCACTCGGCCGTGGCGTCTGCCCTGCCTGTGCGAATGGCGTCACGGGCTGACTGTGTAACGCCCATCGCAACACGTCAGCTGGTCACGACACGAGACTCAAGAGTGTGGAAGAGGTACCCAGCAGGCCAGCCGTGGGGTTGGAACAACTAATTTCTGAATATTTCCTGGTATATCTATTGATTTTTAGTTCAACACAGTACTGAACCACAGTACTGGCGCATTATCCAGGAACAAACAATACATAACCGCCACGACAGCTACGCCGCGGGGCTGCATTTGTCTTCCTGGGGGCCAGCGAGGTGTCCTTCAGTTCGAAGGCCTCCTTCACTGGAGGGTTGCTTTCAGACTCTGGCGCGCCAACATCGTGCAACGCGTCGCGTGATGCCAATCGCCAACATTCAAAGGCCGTCCCATGTGCACCGTCTGGTTGTTCAACGGCTTTCTTCTCTTCTGTAACCAAGACAAAAGGAGGATACAGAGAGCTGGTGCAGCCCACAGTCAGAGAACGCGTGAGCTCTAAAGCACTGCGTGAGGCTTGCACCCTCTTATGTCCATGCTGTACATACCTCGCTGTCCCAACTTCGTTGCTGCAAGCAACCCACACTTTGGAGCCCCAGTGTCCGTCGCTGTTAATTTAGCATTCGCTCCCAGGCCTCAAGGACCACCCTACCCAACAGACATCTATTCGCCACGGGGCTACTTTGCATGCCAAGAGGCAGGCAGTTCACTGGCAAACTTGAACTACATCGCCACGCATGAGCCCCAAAACCCTGCACAGGCCGACAGTGAAGTGCCATCTATTGGCAGAGCACAGACTGGGCTTCCAAGCGACGGCTGAGCCCTCTGTCACCCACCTGAAACGCCATCGCACTGCACCACAACTGGGAAGTTGGGCAGATGCCACATGCGTGTGCCCAGCACAGTTACCAAGCCCAACCACCATGCACAAACCCCACTTGGATCCCGCCCCTATTGTGCAGCCTAACCCCGTGCACCACGTCCTTTGGTCCCTTCCTACCTGCCCAGAGATGTACCCTACTGCCCTTCGATATCGCTGCACCCGTCACTGCCTTGCAGGCACATGCGCAGCACCTTGTCATGCCAGAGCACCTCGCACCCCACACCCGTATCCACCACGCATCATGCTCATGCACCACTCATGGATCGAATGCACTGCAATGCAGTAGTGCGAGTGCTGCGGCACAGCCCACACTCCACATGTGCTGTGGTACCATAGCCCCGCACCGGTGCATCATCTGCACGCATCAACACTGCAGTTCAGGCTGGGCCCAGTGGCCTTTGTGCAGTCGCAGCGCTCACCCGAAGTGCCCGCCGCCCCCCGGGTGGTACAACTGTGCCGTCTGCATCACGCCCGATGCCCCACCCGTGAACACCAGCGGCGGGCTGCCCACTGCGTCTGCCTCTCTCCCGGGCTCGGGCCCTGAGGGCCCAGCCCCCCCCTCCCCGGCACCCATCCCAGTGCCGGACACCACTAGCTCACCCCCCTCTGGGGAATGGGACACGTCGTCGTACTCGAGATCTGATCGATCCGAGGAGGCAGGGGTGAGCTTGGGTGAGGCCTGGGAGCCGCTGTCCGGGCCGGCGGATTTGGGGCGAGCAATGGCGGGAGCTGGGGCGTGGTCGGGTGCGCCGTTGGCCGTGGGCGCTGGGGGAGGGCCACCAGCCAGGCTGTCCGCGCTGAGCCTGCAGGAGAGTGGGCATGGTGGCTTCAATTATGGTTGTAAATCAGGGCACAGAGCGCTGAATGTCAACCATGAATTCCATCTCAAACTCAACACATGCTCTAAGCCAGTAACAGCTTTTGTGTCGTCAATATTCATTTGCGTGAACCAAGGGGAGAAGCACAAGTGAATAAGGCAAAAGGTGAATACCATGGGACCAGTAAGGGGATGTTGGGCATACGGCTGCACACAAAATGTCCTTAATGCGATGTCCAAAATTGCAAAAGCTCAGGCCATTCAGCCGCCTGGCACGATTTCTTGCCAAGTTCCTGCTGGGTATGGCATATGCTTCTATTGGAAGGGGCAAGAGGGGCTGATCCAACTATGAATCAGCAAATACTGGATGTCATATATCGCTGTACTACTTCAAGGCATGGTGGTGGTGGTGGTGAGTGGGTGAGTGGGTGGTGGTGGAGTGGGGCTAGCACATGGTACTTCATTCCATGCAAGTACAAATGCAAATTCACCAGTCACTGTCGCATTTGCCACATTCTGCCTTGGACCTCACATGCTAGGGAACTCACATGATGTTGGCCATAGGATCGGTCATCTCGTTGACATATAGGGGCTCAATGCACATATGCCATTGATTCCATTTCCAGAGAACAGCAGCCCCTCCAAACACACCACTTTCATTATCCACATGTGCATAAACCAGAACGGCAACTACAGTGAAGATCAATGCAATGATGGCAAATAAAGACAGAGGATATTGGGTGTCACCTTGGTCGCTTTGCTGATGGTGGTCCAAGTCTGCAATACAACGATGAGAGAGCAGTGAGGTATGGTTCCACAGCTGCCAGCCCTGACAGTTGACAAAATCCAACTTCCAAATAATTGTAGGCCACTGATTTATAAAATTTGTGCTTTGCTTCTGCAATCGCACCCTTTAGCCCTGATTGCCCCTTGAACACCATTAAACCACAACCACCATCCACTTGAACACCTTCTGCCATACCAAACACATGGCTTTCTTCTGCACAGATATGGACATCTGCACACCTGGCAGCAGCTCAGCAGACAATGCTGATGCCTCTCTTCGATAAAGCAATGATCCACTACAGCGCCCTGTCAATGACAATGGTTGATTGCCGTTGTCGAAGGTATGAGCTCAGTGCCACGTCACTTATGACGATGATAGATGACGTACACACACAACACTACATATTTCCAGCTTCGCGCATGCTGCTTGTTTCATCCAGTCTTGCTGTTGATGGCTCCTATTGCACTGTAGGCGGCCAAGGGTTCAACATGTTCTTGTTGAGAGGGCTCCGATGTTCGACAATTTCTCAGGAATTTAAACAGAACATGCAACAGTGACCTCATTCAGGGGATGAAGTCCAGGCTGCGGCCAGTTTGGAGTTCCACGGCTACGTGGAATGCGAACACAGCAACTTACAGCAATGATACTCCCCCAAGAACAATATGCACTGTGATACCATCAGTTTTCGGGTGCCCCATCGCCTTCCACTTCTTGCGATGTGGTAAAGCACTATCGTCTCTCGCGCTTGGGCAGTGGCACCACACAGGCTCCTTGGTGTTGTGCAATATTGTGAAATAAATAAACACACACATACTGAAAAGCACGTTGTAGGTGCACAGCAGGGAAGGCAAACCTCGTATCAGGTTTGTCCTTTCATTAACGATGCCTTCACATTCATGCACACTGAAGATGGAGGCCATTGCTGCACACCTGGACACGTCCTTGGGCAGCAGGAAGTAGAACCCACGGTCCCCCATGGACACAAAGTCCTGGGAGTGCAGCTCCAGGGGTGCGGAGCTGGGAGTGTGCAGCACACCTCTCACAGTGACCCCATTCTTGCCCAACACCACGAGCTCAAAATAGCCTACACGGGGAACGAGCAAGCAGGAGGCCATCAGGAGGGCATTCAATCGCCCAACAGGTTCGAGGCCAGTGAACTTCCACATTTTGATTGGTGCAATCAAGTGGACTTCCAACACCAGCAGGTCAGCAACTGGCCCCTGGCATCTTTTGCGACCCTGTTTTGAGAATCTTGGAAAGGCGGACACTGTTTGCAGCGTTTTCTGTTTAAAGGCCTTGCTGCTGGCCGGGCACATCGGGACGAGGTATCTGCAGGGGACCTGTGCACGTGACTGGGCCTTGTCCCCATGCTGGCAGATCCCTCTCCCCCCTTCACCACCAGGTAATCTTGTTGTCTTTTTTCGGTGGCAACTACCCCAATTCAGGAACTGAGGTCCAGATTCTGAAAGCACTGGAAGTGTTCTGGCACAAGTTGGGGATTGAGTGCCATGGAACAGCCAGTCTCCACGTGTTCACCACCAACAACCCCCACCTACAGCCACCATCACCCTGAGGAGGCTGAACTGACACTATCCAACACTCCTCACAGTACCCCTGGAACCCCTGGAGCCAACGGCATGTCTGGGCACCGCTGGGGACACCTGGTGGCTTTGCCTTTTTTTCCCACTTCAACATTTCCCATTCTTGCAGCAATGCCACTTTTGGACTCCCTGGCCAAGGGAGACACATGCTGAGAAGTCCCTCTATTAGGGATCCTGTCTTGCACAGCATAGCCACATCGACCCCTGTTTGCACTGGACAGCGAGGGTGTTCAAGGGCTCTATCTGCACGGCCTTGTTAAGGAGTGCAACACAGAAAACAGGACGTGCCCGGACTGCAGCAGAGCCTCGATGCCATCTCGATGCGGGCGGGTGTGTGAAGATTTGTTACAATGAAAAACAGGTCATAGAAAGGGCAACCCCACCTCGGCAAGCGGGCAGAAGACTTCCCTCCAGGGAGGGGCCCCCGTATGGGGCAATCAGCACAGAAGGCAGCGCAAGATAGGGCGGGCGCGCTGCCCCGGGTATGCCAGCCGGACGCGGGGCGCGGCAACGCCGGCCCGCGCCCTTCCACCCACCTTTCTCGAAGTTGAACCGGATGCAGGCGTGCTTGCGCGAGATATTCATGTTGTCCCCTGGCACAGCGCAGGTGGCACAGCGGGGCCCGGTCAGTCCACCCGCCAGCACGGTGCGGCAGCGCGCGCCGAAGTCCACAGCGCGCCGCGAGAACAAAGGAAAATCGACCGGCGCAGCCCGCCGCTCGATCCACTGGCAGCCCCAAGCGTGCTTCCAAAATCTGGGCGCATTTCCAAAGTCTCAGCGCGGGGCCGGCCAAGCACTCCACCCCACCGCCCCAAACAGGCGCGACCGCTGCCATTTCGTGCTAAAAATGTCAGCGCGTGCCAAAATCTTAGCGTGTTTCCCGAATCTCCGAGCGGAGCCGGCCAAGCAGTCCACCCCGGTGTTAGTCTCCACCACCCAGAGCAGGCGCCACCGCTGCGCTTTTTTCACTTTGAATCTCAGCGCGTTCCAAATCCCAGTGTGTTCACAAAAACTCAGAGCGTTCCCAGACCTCCGCTCGGAGCGAGCCAACCACTCCGTCCCCAGCCCCCCCACCCCCGGCGCTACCGAAGCAATTTTGCGCCCACAATCTCAGTGCGCTTCCACATTCTCAGAGGAGAGACAGAGCACCCCGCCCCCACCCCCCCCAACCCGGAGCGACCTGCGCAACTCTGTGCCCCAAATATCGCCCAACGCACCAAGCACAACGTCCAGCTGCGTGCTCTTGCTCCGCCGCCCCATTGTCACTTCGTACTTCCGCACGTAGAACTCCACGCCCTCGCCCTGGAGCTTGGCGTAGCCGCACTTGGCCAGCCGCGGGTCGTCCTCAGACACGCCCATCCCGCCCCTCTCCCCCCGCAGCCCTCCGGGCCCCTCGGGGAGATCCACGCCGACGCCGGCGACGCAATCTCGCCGCGATTCGAATCGAGTCCGGGCGGCCGCGCGGAGACCGGGGCGATGATCGGCTGGCAACCAGCCAGGGGATGAACGGGCGGCCGAGGAGGAGGTGACGGGTGCCGGCCTGAGCGGGCGGAGGCCCTAAAAATTGGGACCTTCGGCCGGCTGGGGGGCCCAGGGGGCGGTGGAGACCCGGCGGGGGCAGGCAGCTAGTGGCGGGCTTGAGGGAGCTTTTGGGCGGTTCAGGCTTTGGTGGGTGGGTGGGTGGGTGGACGGGGCTAAATTATTGATCTGTGCGCTTGAGGGGCGCGGAGAGGGCCGAGGTGGGGTGCGGGCGGCCTGTGCGAGGTGGCTGTGCGATTTGGCGCGCAATGGCGCGTGGGGGGGGGACGGGGAACAGTGGGCGGAAGGGCGGGGGGGCGGTGTGCCAATGACACCGCCTCTGTGATGGGATGAGATTAGTTGCTCTGTCTTCGTGTGGAACCCAACTGGAAACAGAGCGTTTGCGGACGCCCTAGAGACCACCCGCCCACTGGCCGGCGTTGGCCTTGCCAGCGGAAGAAGGGATCCACACGAAAAGACAGAGGGGTTAACATATTCTGGCCTCCGAGGGGTCTGTGGCAACTCAAGACATCAATCGCGGGGGTGGTGTGCGCCCAGCCCAGGCCCTCGGGCGACATCTGACAGATTTGAGCATTCCTATGAACAGCAACTCGTGTTGGATGTTGTTGGATTGTGACAGTGCCTTCGGTTGTCATGCAGCAAGTCCTGGACACTTCTCTGCTCGAGCGAAGTGGGGAGCTGATGGCTGCCTGGTCGGTTCAATATGTAAGAATTCTTGATGTGGAGGAAGATGGTAATTTGGACAAGTGACATTCTGGCCAAAGTATCGGAGCCAAGCGACATTCTGGCCAAAATACCGGTCGAATTGGTGGACCACCGATGGGTCATGTGTGTGCTATGTGGGCACTCAAGGAACCAATGGGCCCACGGACATTTTGTTGGCATCTTTCGATATGAAACAGACGCCGGTTATCCCGCTTGTGTTATTCGATCTTCCTTCCGCTGGTGTGTCGCTCGCAGTGCAATGCACCGCTGAGTGCACCAGCTGTCCGGGGACGCCAACCCCGAAAGTACTGTGATCCTGGACCCTAGAGAAGCGGAATCCCCCAAGTTACTCACACGGCAGCGTCTGGTGGCACCTTACCATGTGGACTCGGTGTTCCCTCGAATTGGGAAGGGCTAGAGCTTAAGGCCCATCCTACATGAGAGTGCAGATCTGCAACCTACGGAAATTCAAGGCTTGGAAAGACAAAAAATGCTGGAGAAAAGAAAAACGAAGAAAACAGCGTGAGGGACAAGAAGTTTTGGGGAAAGCGCCCTGGCACATGCCCCAATCTTCAATTTCCTATATGTACAGTGTGCAAGAGGGAATATGGTCCCAGGTTCCTTGAGGACATTGTTTCCCGTCATTGCCCGGCATTTAGTGATGGAGCCTGGAGCCACCCGACAAGCGGCCCCCGCCCCCCGCAGGGCCGCCTGGGCCCCCCTGGACGCCGCCCCAAGCTCAAGCCGCGCGAAAACGTGACGCGCACCGCCCGGTACGCGCCCCCGTAGTGCCCGGCCATGGATCGACTGCTTGCGCGCGCCGCGATCGCCGGCGCGGCCTTCCTGTCCGGATGGGCTCTCGGGGTCAGGCGAGGACAAAGAGATCGGAAAATAGCCAAACCTGGGTTTCCCGGGGAAAAAAAGGAGCGTAAAAAGCTGGAGGGGGCCGCCCGGGAGGATCTGGAGAGGGTAGAAGGGTCGGTGGGGGTGGCGATCGGGTTGCCGCCCGCGCATGCCGGGTCCAGAGGGGGCCTGGGGAGGAGCAGGGAGTCCAGCCCGAGCGTGAGCGACGGGGAGGGCGAGATGGGCGAGGGGCGCGTGGGCGGGGGCCACCGGATGGTGCTCGTCGTGAGGATGGATCTGCGGCTGGTGAGTGCACGAGGGACGGGATGTCGTTCAACATATCAATTTTATTCAGTGTATGGAGCTCCGCTCACTTCGCTCGCTCGCGATCAAACTATCAATATATCAAAATGTATCCCATCCTATTGATTTGACATTTTGTGATGGTGGCGCCTGATTTGGTTTTGGTCGGGAGAGGGGAGATTGTTGCGCTGACCTGTTGCCCTCGCTCCCCATTCTCTGTTAAGTGTTTGGATTGCAAAAGTAGGAAGGGCATTTCGAGGGGCAGGTGGCCAGAGGGATTGTGTGGGAGAAGTGGTGCAGGGGTTCCCCACAGTTGGATGCGCGGCACAGAACGGATGGGGAGTGACAGAGTGATGTTTGCTTGTTTCTCTTGTGTTGCCAAGAAAGTGCTTTAGTTCGGGAGTCGAGGTGTGTCCCTTCACCTGTTCCCATCCCTGCAGGAGAGATGTTGGACTTGTGTGACCTGAGGCGAAAGGCGTAAGGCGTCGAAAACAGGCGCAGACGATTGATCAAATGAATTTGAATGTTTATTTGCAAGCAATGAGCTGTTGGCTGGTGAGTGTTCCTGCCCTGGAGAGAAAGCCTGTTCTAATTGGGTGTGCAAGCACGCCTTGTTCTGCTGCTGTATCGAATCGATGACGTGCCGCTCAATGGAATCAATCCACAAAGAACAATATTGCAGTGATGGCTAATAACTGGGTCTGTTGATGTCTATGCTTTTCCAGGCTAAAGGCAAGGTTGGATCTCTGCTTTGCCATGCAGCACTGGGGCAGTTCAAGAAGATGCACAGGGCCAAAAATCCCCATCTGTGGGACTGGGTGAGTCCAAGAGGGAAACTACAGTTGCTGTGCTTCTACATGTTCGTTTCAGATTCCTAGCTGTACAGTACAATAGGAGTGGAGGTAGCACTCTAATCGTAATAGGAGAGGTCCAGGTCTTCCGCAACACTGCCAGGCAGCACGTTGCAATGCATGGTCGCAATGGGACATGATTGATTCAACGGATTGATGCAGCCCACTATTGAATGGCAATTAAATATGATTATGAGCAGTGTAGTGTGTTCATTATCAATGTAATGCTATCATTATTGATACAAACACTCATTTATCACAACTTGCTGCAGTTTGGTATTGAATGCAAGAACGCCACAAGAGAAGTCCAGAGTGCTTAGCTTGGCAGGTTCCTTCAACCCCCAGTTTGGCATGTGCGAAGATTCCTCTCCCCATGCAGCTATCTCAAATCCTGCCACCTGTCCCCACTCATCAAACTATGGTGAAGATGCAAGGGCAGTGTTGGTGCATATTGGCAAATGTGATCGAACGAATTGAAGGCAATAGATTCAACAAAAATGTGCTCAATGCCTTTCAGCCCCCAAATTGTGTTGCATGCGCTCAGGAGCGGGATGGCCGGTCTACTGTCGTGCTGCGGGTGCCCAACGAGGGTGGGCTCGCTGCCCTCAAGGATGCCGCAAGGGCGTCAGGCATCCCCACCCACACAGTCGTTGACCGGTCAGCGGACCACAGTGGACCAGTCAAAGCAGTGATGGCCTTGGGGCCCTACGGGGCCGATGCCATTAGTCAGGTCACCGGACACCTCAATCTGTATTGACGGCAGCACTGTGGTACTGTGCAGAGCTGGCAGAGCTGTGTGTCCTAGTTAGGGTCAGTTTGTTGTCCGTATCCCAATTGGGGCAGGTTTTCCTTGCCTGCTTATTTATGGTGGGACTGCTGTGCATGCACCAGCCAGGGTGAGTTTGTTGCGGATATCCTAATTAGGATGGCCTTGTTGAAGTTGGCTTACTTTAGGTGAATTTGTTGCACGTGCCCTGTGTGCCATGTCTGGATTTCGGTTGAATTTAGCAATAACAGCATCTGCAATGGATCTCTTGACATTTGCCTTTAGGGTCAGGAGACTAATGAAAATGCAGTGATTGCTCCTTTGGTTAGTTCTGATGAACTATGGGTTCCGCTCGCTCTATACTACATGTCTCACTTTACCTTGGGTTCCAGAGTGTAACATTTTCATTGTATGATGACATGGGTCCTGCCAGGGTTGGGTGACGGGGTTGGCTTCTTGCAACGCAATGCAATGCTGGGGGCTGCAAATGATATGAAGTCAAACACAGCGATCAAAGTGGTGAGCCATTCACTGTATGTGGAAGCTTCTTTGCGGGACCTCCAAGAGGGGACTGACCAAAATGGGTCATTCCAGGGTCTGAGCACAGCTGGCAATGTACTCGTTAATGTGGCACTGCTTCTACTGGTGAAGGATAGTCTGAACATGAACTGCAAAGTACTGCTGTGGGGCTGCACAGTACCGTGAAAGAGTTGCGCTCGCTGTCTGATCAAACTTCTTTGCAACGAAGCTGAAAGCAAAATGGACGGGATTGAACGAGATGGCTGCGGTTCTAGTGATGAAGCATGAAGGAGGTGACGCTGTGGTTCCAGAGGTATCGTACTGCAGTGCCAGCACGAAAAATGCAGGGTGGGTGGGCGGGTGGGGGGTATTGAATTCATGGTGCCTGTGGACGCGCTGGAATAACAGAACAAGGCTGCAGGGACCTTTGGCATTGCGAATTGTGCACCAGACTGTGCGGCATCCCACCGAATGCAGCACTTAGGCCCAGGACTCAATGAGGTCTTTGTTGTTGAGACGGGGGGGAGTCAAGGGAGTCAACGTTCCACATTGTATGTAAAGAATTGGCCCGGGCTTCGAGAAATATCAACGTCTGCGAAGCTGTTGTTCTGTGACGCAAGTTGAAGTCCATGTTTCGCTGAAGAAAATTTTTGCTCAGGATGCAAATGGTGTTACGTCCGAGTTTCATGCATCTGTGGTCGCTTCATTGACTGATGAATTGTGTCGCAGACGACATGATTAAGAGGACTCCTGACTTTGTTTAGATTACAATTCTCACGGTGGGCAAGTCGTGCGTGTCGTTGATAAGATTCCGTGCGTCTCTGCCTCGTGCTGGTGGTCTGCAGTAGATATTGATGTGTCCCAAACTCGTCTATACTAGTAAAGCTTGCACTACAGTAACAATATTGCAACAAGGTTTGTTCATATGTAATGTTTGACTAATGGTATGACTTAATTTAAGGTGATTTTATGCAGGTCCCCATGGTGGAATCTCGTCCCCGGAATGGGGACAGTGTGTTCAACAAGCATGTCAAGTGTTGCGATTCTGGCATTTGCCTCGCGCTCTGTTCCACAAGAATGGAGTCGAAACATTTCCGCGAGCTCGAAGATACGACGTATCTACGTGATGCAGAAGTAATGGACACTATTGTCGTAGCATGCATTGGAGGCGTTGAACATAACAAAGGCTTGGTCCGAGAGTGCCGCAGACCGACCGTAATTTGTCGAACATTTTTTGCCTCGGTCTGTGTCTGTCCCTTTCAGGTGCTATGTAGCACCTATGCCTTTTGCCCCTCGCTCCTCCGAAGATGCCATTTCCCGAAATTTCTGCAGCTGCTCAGCCAGCGACTCAATTAAGCTGCCGCTCAGCATCAGCTGCAGAATTGGCCACTACCCGCACTAATAACTTTCCATACGGGACGGTGGAAGTTGCTGCCTGGCAATTGACGTTGTCTGTTAGAGCCAAAGAGGACCTTCATTAAGCCCTGGGATTTGGGTTGAAATTGAGAATCTCCTTTTGCAACCAGAATGCTGTCCGACTTTGGGTAGCGTTGCCTTTGGATTGAAGGATTGCAACAGCGCTGTGCGCCGGCACATCCTGCCAATGCCCTGGCATCAACACTTGCTAGACAAAACAGGCCAGAATTATCCTGAGTTCTATCAAAAACAAGCGCATTAAATATTGCTGCATTGAATGCATGCACAGACAATCCCTCACAGTGTATATCCCCTTTCAAACGACGAGCATTCGCTAGCAATACTCCACCCAGGGAAACGGTGGTCGCAAGGAAGTACACGATGGCTAATTTCGGAGCATTGTGACCAAGCACAATAATATGATGGACACTACACAAACATGCCATACTGTCACACCCTTGTGGCAAAGGCTTATTCAACACGTTGATCAGTCTATGGACGCCACGCCTAGCTATCAAGTGGTTGTTTCGCTTTTGTATCTGTATGTATGTGTCAATACTTTCACACGGCGTAAATGCCTTTTTGCAGTTTCAACGGACTTCCCCTTTTCCACATCGACCTTAACTGATGACATCGTCGTTCTGCACGCTGTTCCTTGGTCAACCAAAGTCTGTTTTGAGGAACAGCACACCAATGCTCTTCGCTCTTGCAGCTTACAACGGTGCATCCAATAAATTCGCACCCCATCCAGTCCTCTGACGTGCCTGGTTTTGTCTGCATCCAAGCCCATGGCCAACGTCAGCCATGACAAACCGCTGAGATCACTGGACACTGGGCGCCACTGACATCATTTGGCCAACAGCGATTTGTCGATACGTCGCCTGCTTTTTTCGGGACATTCGCTTGCAAATGCCTATCTTGGCAGGAGAGGGAGAAAATTTTGCGCATATCTCTGTTATTACATCCTGTCGAGCATGTCCATGTCCACACCATGTTCATGCACGCGCCGCGAGCCACCGAACTACGACGGAGAGCAGGATGCTTTGAGCACGCTTTGAGCGCAGCTGTAATGGAATGCCGCTTTTCAGTGGCGACAATAGGAGAGCACAATTTTTAATCGTGGCGATTGGGCGCATCCACTTAGAATATTCCAAGTTAATGCTGAGCGTTCCCATGCGAATCACCCGACTTACACCCCTGCACCGGCTTGCCAAATGCAGGGCCAGAAATGCACATCCACCAGCTTCAGTTACGCGTTACATCAGTCCAAAAAGCACAGCCGAACAAAAAAAAGCACAGCTGGAGTCAACACGTGAAGCAATGCACTGCTGGCGCAGAACGGGGCGGACAATAGCCCCGTGCTAGGACTTGCTCATTTTGCAGTTCCTACCATTATTTGGCAGCTGATGTCAAAGCGGCCACACCTGTCACGGCAACACCACCTCTCTCAACTCTCCAGTCTGCGGCGGCCTTTCGACCGCCCCCAGATGCGCACCCTCCCCCCGCGATCCAGCTTACACGCGACCCGTCGACTCCCCAAGGCCCCCCTGGACCATCGTTCGTGGGGCGCGGCACGCGCCTCGATGTGAAGTTGCGCCAATCTACACAAAAATGAACACCCCACCGCTCAGGAATTGAGCGGCGCGCGTCGCCAGCCCAGGGATCACAGCGGCGCCCAGCGCTTCACAGACCCTGTCAAGTCCCACAACTCCTCCCCCTCTCCCCCCTCCTCCCCCTCCCCCTCGTCCTCCCTAAGCCACTCCGCCAACTCCGCCCTCATCACCACCAGCTTGTGGTCCTCCGAGCACGTGGTCTTCAAATCCTCATGCTCCGTTCCATTGGGCCCCAGCTCCCCGTCCCTGCTGTTGGGCCAGGTCCGCCTCCCCAGCGCCCCCCTCGGGAGGCTGTGCGCCGCCACGGGACTCTGGCACCCCACCGCCGATCTGTCGACCGCCCGCCACTCATCCTTCCGCTTCTCCCAGAGGCAGGCATCATGACCGCCAACCCCCCTACCCTCCTCCCCACGCCCGACCACACCCTCCACGGCTGCTTGGCCCCGCGCCTCTTCCACAGGCTCTTGCCCTTCCCGCCTCAACACCGCCACCCCACCGCGTATGACATCCTCCGTGCCCTCGAGCGCCCATGTTTTTAGTCCGCGGCCTGCGCCTCCCCTGCAGCTCGACGCCACCTCGGCGGCGGCGACGCCGCTTGCCCGTTTTCCGACGCCTCGCGGAGACCGCGGCCCCGCCGACTTGACTGCCCTCCTGCCCGCCAACAGCGTCGACTTTGACCCAGCATTGGAATTAACCGACCCAACACTGGAGTTAACCGGCCCAATGTTGGGATACATCGATCCAAATTTGGGATTAGCCCCGCAGCCGCACTCCATCTCCATCACGCGCTGCAGCACCGACTTCGCCAGCCGGCCGCCGAGGCGCCCATCCCCCAGCGCGGGGGACCCCGCCCTCCTGCCGTGGCCTATGCCTTCCTCAGTCTCGGACCCTTCAACACGCTGTGCTGATTGGCCGGCCATTCCTCCCACGCCTTGCCAAGGAGCGCTGCCACGAGACCTGCAGGGTCTCGGCTCAACGTCGCGCGCACCGGCTTCGTTCCCATCTACGGTATCCGAATCGGTACCAGAAATAGAATCAGAAATCGGATCAGGGGTCCGGCCACCGGCCCCCGCCTCCCCGCCGCCCTGCCCCTCGCCTTCGGAGTCCGAACGGCGCACGCCGCAGCTCGTTCCCCTCGCAGGTTCGGGCCCCAGGGAACGCTGCATTCTGTCGTCGTTCTTTGCGCATTTCCCCCTCCACTCGGCGGCATGACCGATGCCAATGCTGTTTCCATCGCGCGCACGGGACTCTGCCTTCCCGTCCTGGCCAAGGTCTCCAGAAACCTGCCAAGCGTCTACAGCATCCCGGCCAACGTCTTCAGAAACCTCGGGCCCTTCGAGGCGCCGCGGTGGCCGCCCGCCCTCCCCGCCCATGCCCTCTTCTGACCGATCTCCGTCCCCAGACGCAGACGAACTCACCTCCGCGTCGCTCCTCCCCTCATCA